CACACACACAAACTCTCTATGGTCTCTGTATGCAAGAGAAGCTGGCTCACTTTGTCAGGGCCTCCACTCCGGCCTTGGCAGCAGCACTGGGGGCCACAAAGGGAGACCCGAGGGCCGTGTAATTGGTGGTTACGGCCAGGAAACTGGCCCCTGCAGCGATATGGTACAGTAGTTGAGTCCAGGACTGTGTGTGCTCAAAACAGTAGGGTGTGTGCTGCAAATTTATGTAGGTCATCTGTTCACTAACACAATTTCTTATAAAATTGTCTTTGGAATGTTGTATTCAAACAGACAAGCTCATGAGGCCTATTGAGTATTGACAGTGTGTGGGAAAGATCCTAAATGAGTCGTAGGGTCACTGACGTATGCCAAAGACTGCTAGCCACAATATGTCATAATGGAGTCTGAAATGCCGTTAGTGTGACACAAACACACACTCTGTCTCTAGCCAAACACTATTTCCAGTAAAGTGTGGAGCCAGACTTCATTATCAGATACAAAACGAGACGCTACTAGTGTAACTGCTGGTTCAGTATCTTAGGTCAGGTAAAAGAGAAGAGTGAAATGTTGATGTAAGTACGGTAGAACTTCTGATTAGGACACACCGAATAAAGGACACAATAAGTTGAATATTCAGAGTTCAACGGATAACATTCCTGCATTACACACTGCAGCCAAACGCCCACCTTGCCCTGCATCTATGAGTCTCTTGCCAAACTCCAGAGACACGTAGCAGTTCCGTTGAGGACGATGTCGACTATGGTTTTGAAGGCATTGGGCGAGAGTCTCTCTGTTGGAGAGACAAAGTTCAGCGGCGTTGTTGACCACCATGTGAGGTAGACAGCCACACCCCTCCACAGTCAGATCAGCAGCTCTTCTCACTGATTCAGGGTCGCGGACATCCAGTGCCACTGGAATTACCTACATACACCAGTGAGAGAGACTTGATCATAGTATTCTATGGTGGTGTGTGAACCTTGTTTCCAGTTGATTTTGTTATCTCTTCCGCTGCTTCCTCCAAAATATCCACTTTTCTGAACAAGAGAGTACCATTTACTACTGTCTATAGCTACCCAGTTCCTGTAGCTGCCCACCTACTGGAAATGACCCACCCTAGCTCCCAGGGCAGACAGACACTGAGTGATACCCCTGCCCAGCCCCGTCCCCCCTCCCGTTACAAAGGCCACTCGCCCTTCAAACGTCCCTGGAGGCAACATGGGGGCTTTGAGGGCAGGGAAACGACCCGTAGCCGGCGTGCTGTAGAGCCGGACGCCCAGTGCCAGTTGCAGTAGCTTTGAAGACATGATCAGCGTGCAGCAAACTCCAGCCCCGCCCCCTCAAAGTGTCACGTGCAACACCGACAAATCACGTGATCAGTAAACTTTGGACCGGACTTTTTTCCTCCATCGTCGTTTTGTTGTTCGGCTGGCAAGAAGTACAGATGGCCTTCGTGCTAAGACGCTGTCTCTCTACCTCTGCCGGGTGTGCACTGTGCAGGGGACGCGAAAGTTCATCATGGCCATCCCAGCGCCGCTCAACAACGTGGCCGTATTGGAGACACCTGAACTGCAGCAGCTGGCACGAAAGGCCCAGGGACCGTGGACTGAGCTCTCCAACGAAGAGGCCGTGGAACGTAAGTCCTTTCATCCTGAAACGTTTGTGCTACGGGAGTAGTTTCGTTTGAGCTGTGTCTAATTAACGCCCACTTTTCTCCTATATACAACAGTGTACAGAGCGCAGTTCCCGCTGTCGCTTAGGGAGATTCACGAGGACACCAAGAGTGACATGAAGACAGTGCTGCCTGCGGTGATCCTACTGATGGCCCTCAGTGTGTGGGGCGCCTCCTTCCTCAGAAATACCAGTAAGAGAAGTGCATTTTTATCGAGTTGTGGAGGGAGGCAGTGGCAACTGAATCACAGTAGGGATGAGTGGCTTACATTCCCTCTAGAAGTGTCGTTGCCGTTGGTGAATCAAAAACTTAGGGAGTCAAAAAGTTTTGCAAATTGTCCACACCCATATTTTTGTAGTTGGCCCTATAAGAAAATCTTATTTTGCAAACGGTTATGAAGTCTTTCTGTGTGTGCTCTAAAAGACAAGAACATGGCTCTGTTGTGCTCCCATGACCTTCTCTCCCTCTCTCCCCCACTGCCCCAGTCGGACCAGAGCAACCACACACCTTCAACAACCCAGAGTGGGACGCCGCCACCAGAGAGAAGCTGATCAAGTACAAGGCAAACCCCATTGAAGGCATTTCCAGTGGTCTTCAGAACTAGCCACCTCTGTTGTCCTATTAGCTGAACCTTGGCACTATGCACACTAGTCTTGTTATAGCTGTATATCTATGGTGGTACCATCCCAGCTCTATGTAGGTACATGTGTATGTGTATGGCATGTTCTGGCAGAAAAGAAGCAATTTGGCCACGTTTAAGAGGTACAGTAGTACTAGTATATAGTTAGAAAGGACCTAAAGGCACTGTTTTTCCCCGAGTGCTGTGAAGCTGTATAATAGTAACACTATAGAGTCTGCCACATCTGTCCAACCCCATTTCGACGGTGGTATGGAAAATAATAGTATATATATACAATAATTAGAAGAGCTTCTGTGTTGTGGTGGTCTCTATTTGGGAACGATGTTCTCCTTGAGAAGTGATGTGTTGTTCAGATGGTGCGGTCCTATAGAGGGTGTGGTAAAAGAGGAGGAGGAGGAGGAGGGAGAGGATTTAGTAGGGGTGTGGGTAGTTGGAGGCTCAGTCAGGAGGTGGGTGACTTTCTTCTGGAGGTTTGCCAGCTCAGTAGTCTTGACTCGAAGTCTGTTCTCTAGTACCATCACCTCCTACAGAGCAGAGGGAGCAAAGGTCAGCAGCTTTTGTCTCTATCCAGTAACTCTAATACAAACCAAGCCACCCTAGCATACAAAGACACTGGGTTGTTAGCTATGATGGTATATATAGGTAGAGCCACAAACAACAGCCCAAGAACCAAAATACTGTTGGGCTGGTTTTTTCACATCTATATTGATGCAAAGCCGGTTGCAGTCTAGGTGAAACTCATCTACATACAAGGACACCCCTGAAGCCAGTATCTACAGCTGTTCTAAAGGCGATTGGATCCACCAATTGTTGAAACAAGGTATTTTTGCAGGGGTAAACACCCGTACTATACCTCTTTGAGTCTGGAGTTCTCCAGTTTGGTGGTGGCATGGTAGTGGATCTTCTGACGGAGGTTCTGGTGACCTGAGATGGCCGCATTCTCTTTGGCCAGGTTGGCACATTCCTGTGTGGAAAAACAACCATAGTCGATAATCAGCAGGGGCAAAGGGGATTATAGCTATTATTTGGTTTTTCAGGGACGGGCAACTCCATGGTCCTTGTAGAAAATTAGGTGAGTACTGTGGTCTATAGAATCTTGACTAGGACCATGGAATTTTACGCAAAATAGAGCTATAGGCAGGCCACCACTTACTGTATATATACAGTGTATCCCACATGACACTGCTCTTTGATAGTTCATGGGGACAAATGGCCCCCTTTCCCCCCTAGAAAAACCCTGTCTATTCACACTCAATTACATCTAATTGGCAGGGGCAGCTAAGGAGATAGTTGTATACACTCAAATGATGCATATTGCAGGCAGGGGCAGAGGGTAACGGCTAGGAGGAGAGAGATAGCTGCTATACCCCACCTTTGCCAGCTTGCTCTTCTCCTCCCTGAGTGCCTCAAGCTGTGACTGGTAGGACTGTGTCTCATCAAACAGCCGCTGCTCGATGGCCTTGTAGCGACCCAGCTGGTCGCTGAGAGAGGCCACAGAGGAGGTGGCCTCTTCCAGAGCTCTCTGCAGGCCAGCTCTCTCCCTCAGCACACTGTCTCTGGTCTCCACCGCCGTCTGGTAGGCTCTCTGGAGTCTCACCTGCTCCTCTGACTGGTCCTGCATCTCCTGTCTCAGCCTGGCCTCCCTGCAGTGGGGGGAGTTAGTGGGGATAATCCCTGCAGTGGTGGACTATACAAGACCCTTATCCGCAGTGGGGGAGCTGGTGGGGACATAAGACCCTACCTCCCTGCAGTGGTGGTGTTAGTGGGGATATCTTGCAGTAGTGGTGGATATTTACAAGACCCTTATCGCCGTGGGGGAGTGGTGGGGATAATCATGGGTGGTGGACTATACAAGCTTATCGCAGTTGGGGGGACATAAGACCCTTAACCTCCCTGCAGTGGTGGTGTTAGTGGGGATAATCTCTGCAGCAGTGGTGGACTATGGACAAGACCCTTATCCGCAGTGGTGGTGTTGGTGGGGACATAAGACCCTTAACCTCCCTGCAGTGGTGGTGTTGTGGGGATATACAAGACCCTTAACCTCCCTGCAGTGGTGGTGTTAGTAAGACCCTTAACAGTGGTCATGTTAAAAGAGTGTATCCTCCCTATTGTGGTATATAGGGTTTAGTGAGGAAACTGCCTGAAGGTATATGGATTGTGACTGTACTAACAGTGTCCGTTGCTCCTCCAGCTGGGATTGAACAGTGGCAAGGTTGGCAGTCAACTGATTCAACTCCCCAACCTGAGCATCCCGAGATTTCAGCTCCTCCTGTCAGCAAAGTGTAGTATCATATTCAGTTTCGCTATTAGCCAATCATGTATACGTACCTGCAGGCGTCGTATTTCCATGTCTTTCTCCTCCCTGGCCTGTTCATAGTCTCCTAACATGGCCACCGCCTTGCTCAACTCTGACCTCAACTTGAGACCGTCCAGTCAAGGAATGTACATAATTATGAGCCTTAGCCGATGTGTATTTTTCAGCCTTCCTCTCTCTCATTTCCCCCCTCTCTTCACATGAAAGTGTGACTGTGGGATAAGTGTGCATGTGTGTGAGTGAATGTTGAAGGATATCTGTCTTTCTCTTCGTCTGACTGTTCCAATAGTGTCTTCATTTCATCAAACGACTGAGCCTGCATACCAGGAAGGAAACACGTACATACAGTGGTATACACACCTAATGTGTTGGACAGCTAGCTATATACAGTGGAGGGCTCAAGCTCCACTGGTCACGTCCCCTCCCACCACTCAATGATGTACATATGTAGGTATGCTGTGAACCTAACACGTAATGTTTGCTGTTGAATCCACTATTCCTAAGTGATGTGTATGCATGTGTATGGAGTTACACAGAGAACATTCACTATGGAGACTGTTAGAGACTGTATGTGTACATGTGTAGAAACACACTATTGATACGGGAGATGAACAGACTAAGGAATTGCCCCCTCGGTGAGGGTAGTTGAGGAGACTAAGTGCATGGCAGCTTGCCATGGTATAATAGGACGCAGCAAGCTTTCGGTATTATGCATATGTAAGGAATGCATGCTTTTAGCAGCCGGAGGCACGTAACGTACACAGCCCACAGTAGCTTGAGTCTTAAGACATTAGCCTTCATATCCAGCCACACTTCCGTGGACCAAACCAATCAACACAACACATGTACACACGTACGTATACAGTAAGCCACTTTCTTACATGCATCGACATGCAGGTCTCAAGGCAATTAAAGGCAGAGCAAACAACACAACCACACCAAGGACAACTCTTTTATCTTGCACAAATTGAATGGGTCATGGGGATCATGTACAGGTTGAAAGACTAGGTATGTACGTTTAAAATCATCTCACCTTGCTGACAGAGGCCCTCCTCTCCTTCTTCTGTCTGAGAGTGGCCAGCTCTGTCTCTCTGAGGGCCAGTGTCTCCCTGGTCTCCCTGGTCTCTCTCTCCACCAGGGACAGCTCCTCCGACTGGGCAGCAAACGTGGAGCTGAGCTGCTGGTACTGCTCACTGATGTGCTCCAGTTCCTCAACCACTATCTCCCGCTGGAGAGGATAGAGCACACAGAGAGAGTTATTTCTACATTCATATGTACAAAGGTGAACAAAGGACCAGCATGTAATGAGCAGGCTATGGCACAAACAGCCTTCATACTCATCTCTGTACATGGCTATGAGAGATCTGCTTAAAAGAGTAAGAGTAGCTTTGCACACAGGCCTTTGTGGGGCTGTTTTGGAGGGGAAGAGAGAAAGAGGGCGCCTAGCATCCCTGTTTGCACATGTGCCAAATTCCGCCTTCTCTGTATCTGCACTAGCTCATTTCCCTGGGAAAGAGAGCAGAGTAGCTCACCTCAGAGTCTTTCTTCTTGAGTTCTCTCTCGTGGTCCAGTACCATGTTCTTGATCTGGGCCTCCAGACTCTCAACCTTAGCGGCCTGTATGGAGGGACAACACCATCGTAACTGCTCCCATGCACACTGCATACCATGTATGGCAATGCTGCAGGAGAAAGGCAAGAAGCTAAAAGGCAAACGTCTAGATGGTAAATAAATTTGGCAGAGAATGTTAGGAGAGGGTGTTAGTTCATGCCATACCAAACTTTCACAATTGGTCCTCAAACTATGAAATACGAAGATCTTCCCTCAGTAGTTTCCCACTATGGGTGAGAAGGAAGGTGTGGCCAACCTGGCGGTTGTTCCTGGAGAGAGACTCCCTCAGTTCCTGCGACGTGTCCTGCAGCTCTCTCCTCAGAGAGCCGACTCTGGCCTCGTCTGTGGCACGCGAGGACCGCAGCTCCTGCAGCTGACCCATCAAACTCCCTATTGCCTCCCTACGACACACAGAGAGACACCAAATGTTCCTATAATTAGAACAGCACCATGCTCTACATGACTTGTTTTCTTTGCCTTTGCCATGCTCCCTCGTTGTTGACATATTATTTGTATATAGTACATGTACAAAGCATGAATTACGGGGACAAAAAGTGTAAGTGTTTTTGCAGGCATAGTACATTACATGCCTGTATGTATGAGAGCACAACTCTTTTGCAGAAGAATGCACGAAAGTGTTATTCATACAAGCAGAAAGGCCACAGATCATGTTTGTTGGCCACCAGTAAAATTGATATAATCTAAAGGCATCAGGCCTACGTGAACTTGTGTGGCAACAACCGTACCCAGTCACCACCCCCCTACCCACTTAGACAGAGAACATGTGCAGTATTCCTACAAATCCAAAGTTCATACATGTTTTAGTACATGTTGTTCACATGTACACATTACGTACATACACATGTACATGTACCTGTCGGCCATCTGTCTGTTGTGTAGAGAGGTGATGGTGGTCTGGGCATCACTGGTCTGTCTCTGGTACTCGTGGAGCTGTCTCTTCATATCTGTCTCCAGCTGAGTCACGCGAGACGACAGCATTGCATTCTCATCCAGAGCCTTCACCAACTCCTGATCAAACACATACAGCTATAATTAGTTCATGTTCAAAAGATCACGAGTACATTCAGATTACATGTTCATGAAAATTTGTGCTCACACAAACAAATCTACCTCTAACCTTTGTTTTTCGCATTCTCACAGTTCCAGGCAGTGTAGGGATGATGTGTACAGCTAGTATATAGCTACGTGCCGTAAGTCTAGCTCTCTCACCTGTTGTTTCCCGTTCTCTCCCTCCTGGAGCTCTGAACTGAGCTGGGTGTTCTTCTCCACCTCTCGCGTCAACTTCTCCAACACACACTGAACACACACACACACATACAGTATATACAACACTAATACAGCAGTATGTTCACTACATGTTGTGTTGTGTACTAGTGGTGTATGGAGTTAACCTGCATCTCAGCCGTGAGACTGGTGGAGTGTTCTTTCTCCTGACGTAGAGCCTGCTCAACGTCATTGATACGATGAGATTTGAACGTCAACTCCTCTCTACCAGTCTCCACCTCATCCTGCACAACACAGAGTAAGATGGAGCTTGAAATTGCATGGTGCATATATAGTATTAGACTCAGAGCCCTGGCCAGCTGAGCTACCGTAACTTGCCTGCCTTAATATGAACTGAAGGTGATGATGATTCATTGATTTGAGATTCACAACGAAGCCACGAGGCAAAGGCAAAGCAAACAAGTCAACTACACCCAGGAAAACTAAAGTTTGTTCAAACTCACAACACTCTGCTGTCAAGCACAGCGCTCTTACCCACTGAGCTATACCAGGGCATCTCAACAAGAATGTACAGTACAACACAATTAGGCAAAGGCAAACTTCAACTAACTGTACGTGATGTTAATGTGAGTGGAGTGAACGGTATGGAGTGTGTGCAGTGTGCTGGGAGCACACATACAGTACCTGCATGTTCTGGAGATCCTCTGTCTGCCTCTCAAGATCAGAAACATTTGTGGCTACCACCTGCTCCAGCTCTCCGATCTATACACATGCATGGAACTTTAACTATTAATGCTGAAGAGGTTTCAATTGTTGCTGTGTATCACGCATAAAGTTTGTGTACAGTGGAACCTCGTTAATATGAACTCCAGGGGACCATCAAAAACGTTCATATTAAAAAGGAATTTCACTATAACAGTAGCTACTTGTATCAGTGTTATAATGCCTGGGGATTTCAACGTGGTTCGTAAGGTATTTAGCTTTAACAGTGTTTGTATTAACGAGGCTCCACTGTATATTATGTCACAGAAGGATGAACAACCAACCTTTTGCATGCATTCCATGAGTTTGGAGTTGTGTTTCAGAGAGTCTTGTTTCCTGGTGGTCTTAGCCTCGCTCAGTTCTCTGTCAGCTGACTGGAGACACACTCTCAGATCAACCACCTCACTCTTTAGGACTATTAACATGGAGGGAGGGGAGGGGAGGGAGGAGACTCAACCAGCGGTTGTGTTTGTGTTGCAGCAGAAAAACAAGGCCATGCTGGTTAGTCCCATTGCTAAATACTGCCTCGTGCAATATCCAAAAAGGAAAGTGGAGTGTCCTAAATTTGTCGTACTTTTAGTGAGTACATGAGGGGAAAGACATGTCTACAGACCATCTTGGACCCTTTGACTATAATTGTAGAGTGCAGTGCAACTGAAATAAAAGTCCTCAGGAGTGACTGTTGAAATAGGGTGGCCTGAACATTCCTTAATTTTGTCAAGTACGTGAGGAGCTAACTACACAACGCCATTGTACATTGTATGTATGTAGAGAGTGAATTTGTGATGAGTGACTGTTTGAAAATGAGGTGGCTTTATTTTTACTGAATACGTGCTGAAAAACAGGCCAACAAACTATGTGGATATTCCAGTTCAAACTAAAATCATCAGGAGAAACAACTGTGCAAAAGAGGGTGGGTGACCTTTGCAAATGTACGTGAGAGTAGAGAGAGAAGCCAACCCAACTTGACTACATGTATAGCTAGAGAGTGCAAATTTCTCATGGACGACTGTGGAAAACACCGTGGCCAAAAAATGTTAGTATGTGAGAGGAAGGACACGCAAACCAACCACTTTGACTGTACATGCCTACAGCTGAGAGTGCAGTGGCAATGACATAATATAACGTTAGGCCTAAACATGAGTATGGATAACCCCTTCTCGTGGCCACCCCACGTAAGTAGTGAGGCTACCCACCAGTATTGGAGCTGGTGAGGTCAGCTACGGTGACAGTCATGTCTGCCACCTTCTCCAGGAGGTCCTGCTCTCTGGCCAGACTGGCCTCGTGTTCCGAGCGGGACACTGACTGGAGCTGGACCAGTTGTGACGACAGATCCGACTTATCCCTGTCCAGATGGTACACTGTGGACTCTAACTCCTGGGGAAGAGGGGGAGGGAGGGAAGTGGAGATGGAGAGGGAAAAGGAAGAAGGAGTGATGGAGGAAGGGAGGGTGATGGCAGTAGGAAACATGTTTGGGTGCAGAGCCCACCTCTAGCTGGCTTTGTAGGTTTCTGTTTGCATCCTGAAAGAGGGAGACAAAATAGTGTTAAACTATACATTCAGAGGCGTGAGGATGGTACTACCTGAAGAAGTTTTAGTTCATCAGTGAGGGCCCCCTCAATATTGAGTTCATTAAGTCCTCCCTCCACTGGGAGGTCTCCAGTGATCTCGGTATTGGTCCCGACCGAGACACAGGACGATGATTGGTGGGCGGAGCTTACTAGACCAGACACACCCCCTTTACACTCCAGTTCTACACACGGCATGTACAGAAAGAGAACATTAACACACTTTGTACTCGGTATCCACAGGTTTCGCCAACTACGTATACATTCAGTACCTAGTAGACATGTTAGGGGTTGTCAGCTGTGCTACACATGGAGCCACACTCTCTGTTAGCTACACATGGACCCACACTCTCTGTTAGCTACACATGGACCCACACTCTCTGTTAGCTACACATGGACCCACACTCTCTGTTAGCTACACATGGACCCACACTCTCTGTTAGCTACACATGGACCCACACTCTCTGTTAGCTACACATGGACCCACACTCTCTGTTAGCTACACATGGACCCACACTCTCTGTTAGCTACACATGGACCCACACTCTCTGTTAGCTACACATGGACCCAGACTCTCTGTTAGCTACACATGGACCCACACTCTCTGTTAGCTACAATCTGCAACCATTTTCAGTTTCTAGTAGGTTGCCCCAGGATTTACATCATATCTAGAACACCAGGAAATTCTACACTAATGCTCAACAACTGCAATCGAAAGTGTTATGTTACTGTTGATATCTGCTGAGACATTGAGTATAGAAATATTCCTGGTATACACAGTATATTGGCTGAGGTGTAGTGTACACCACCCACCAGGGGACTCAGGGATTGAGGGGGGAGGAGGAGAGAGAGGGCCTGGTGGCTTGGTGAAGTCCAGAGACTGTCTCACAGGGTCAGAGTCCACACGACGGAATGGAGAACTGGAGATTGCAGACTTGGTGGAGACTTGTACTGCCACCTTCTTGGGAGTCAGCATTGACTGACCATTGAAACAGATCAGAGATGGTGAAAGACAGCACAACACACTGTGGACGTGTGGCTCACTCTGATGGTGTTCATGTGGAGATCATTGAGAGTGGCCTTCTCCACACTGCTCTTCAACTTCAGTGCCTCTATACTCCTCTGAAATGTATAGTTGGTATGCATGTGTACATACAACAGCAGTTACAGTTAGTCTATGGGTGCAGTATTATTGAGCAGAAACGATAAGTGGAGGGATAGGTCAGAGAAAGAGGAGGGAGAAATTAAAAAGAGGGTAGTTTTTTTAGAATGGATGGAGGGAGACAGAGAAGAGAGAGAGAGAGAGGAAGGAGGAGTAAACAAGGAGAGTGGGTGAGAAAGAGGAAGAAAGGAAGGAAAGAAAGAGGAAGAAAGGAAGGAGAGAAAGGAAGGAGGGGAGAGGTGGGGGGAACCTCTAGTTCCTGGTTGGCCTTGTGAGCGGTGTTGAGAGAGACCTCCATCTGGGCCTCCTTGAGGTGAAACTCCTCCCTCTCTGTGGCCAGCTGTCTCCTCGTCTTCTCCAGCTCACTCTGCAGTCCACACAACTTGCTCTGGAGTCTCTCCGAACTCTGAACTCCCTCGTCGCCGGTGGCTCTGGCCTGGGGGCGGAGTCTCTGGACCAGACCAGCTGCCCCGCCCACCTTCACCGGGGATCCTCCACCTGTAGTGAGCACATGTCCCACTTTTATCATGTTGTATATAATCTCTAAGAAAATATCCTAATCCATGATAAAAAAAAGCTGGAAGTCTTAGTCAAATACAAAGCAAGTGTCATTGAATGGTACAAACGACAGTGTACTATTTCAACGACCGACTTTGGATACTTTCATGGGGACAAGTTTTGTCATTGTAATAATGTTGCCAGGAAGGGGTGATTTGGAACAGTCTCACTTGGCGAACTTAAAGGCCATCTACATTTTTGGGCAGGTAAAGGGGCGAGCAAAGGCCCTCTGCTTCCTGAAATAATCCCAGTTATAATTAGTGTGCAGCAGACTGCGTACCAGCTTCCTTGGCGAGGTAGTGTCGTAGCTGTCTCTCTAGCTGGAGGGTGTACTGGTGGGTCCTAGCCAGCTCCTTGTGGACACTGCCACCTGGTAGAGTGGACCGCAGCTTCTTCAGCTCCGCTGAGAGGGAGGGAGGTAGGGAGGGAGAGGAAGAAAGAGAAATGAAGAGGGGGGAGTGAGTGAGGGAGGGAAAGAGAGAAAGGTGAGAAAGTAATAGGAATAAAAAGTAAGAAGAAATGAGGGAGGTAGAGGGAGGGTAGAGGAAGAGATTATACTCCAATTTCAGATGAAAGTCGAGTAAATTAGTGATTGGTAACATATCCATTTAACCAACATTACAAGAGTACACTGCATGTTTCTCTGTATTAAGGTGATATTATATTGCTGCCTGGAGTATATACACATGTAGGGTATATGTATACGTACCTCTGAGATCGAGATTCTCAAGAGCGAATTTGGTGACATCTGGATGATGGTCTACCTGATACCTCAGTTGCTCCACCTCCTGCTTTAGAAGAGCCTACAATAAACAAAGCACAGGTTCACTGTAAGGTAGAGGTAGAATCAAAAAAAAACAGGGTATGTATGTAAGTAGGTCAACACTCGTCCTATATGATGTCCCGCTTCATGCACTGGGCTCTTAAGTGCCAGCGCTCTTAACATGCGCATCTATCGAAGCTTGCCATGTGAACATGCAACTGAGACCTACACTGGTAGTGAGTCCATCTCCAGAGACTAGACCATTTACACACCTGGTCGACTCCTCTCTAGCGTCACCTGGACCTCCTCCCCTCCCTTCCCCCTCCTCTGCTTCTCCATGTTACCGATATGGGTCTCACGGAACTTGAGAATCATCTTGGTGGACTGCACCATGACAGCCACACAATGACACATGAGGAACGAGAATATCATTATGATGAACGACATTATAACCACGTTGTTTGTACCTGTAGGAATTTCTCCTTCTTGTCACACAACCTCTGCAGGTTTCTATCCTCTCCAGCAGACTCTGCACGGTACAACATAATTTGTCACGTTCACTCAACAACACGTGTACACATACAGCATTGGGAAAGGATTTGAACAGAGTCTGAAAGGAAGGCAGCACGGGTAAATAAATGGTGGAGACATATTCAAGCCATTGAGCCACACAGCTGTTCCACATTCAGAATGGATATACATCAGAGGACCAGATGATAGCATAACAGCTTGGTTTCGTTTGGGTAGTGGGATGGTAAAACAGCCAAGAGAAAGCCTACAACTCCCTAGAGCTGGGAAGCAGGGGAGTTACCCTTTCACTGCTTATCCCTCCCTTACCAAACTACATACATACATGTACTTACATATGGCTGTTTGGAAGTTAATGTCTACATTGTATGTACACAACTTATGGCTGTTTGGAAGTGAGTGGTGAGTTGCAACACCTCTAATTACTTCTTCCTCTGACTAGTATCCCTTACTGTTAAACATGGACGCCATTCTTCTAAATGCGCTCCTTGACCAACATAAAAACACAACTACAGGTCTGTGATCAGATAGGGTATACTCACCATCTTCGTGGACTCTGACTTCTCACGAGCAGCCATTGAATGAGTCAGCATTTCTTTAATGTCTATGATGGTCTTGGCATCATCTGACAGAACACCCACCCCTCTTCCAGACAGGGATGAGGAGGAGGAGGAGGAGGAGAGAGGAGGGGAGGAGCCTGGCAGCAAGGCCACACCCCTCTCCTCTGGTGTGGGAGGCAGGGGGATAGAGGCTGCCACTCCACCTGGATGATTGCATGGACACAACACTATCTAAAAGGTAGCTGGAAATCTAGAGCTTTTGAAAAGCGATGCTGATTAACGACACACTAATATACATGACTGTTGTGTAACAGACAGGAAGAAGTTAAAAAGGGTTAATTGTCCATCAAATAAAGTGGAACACTTCTACTATAGGGGCAACCCTTTCATTTAGCTCATTTGTGTAGCAGTAAAAACCCTCTAAAAGTGGTCTGCATTAGTGAGGTGTCCTCATGGCTCGAGGAAAGAACGAAATGGTGTCCTTTTTAGAGAGGCATCCTCATTTCAGGGGTGTCCTTATAGAAGTGTTCCACATGGAGAGATGGAGAGTATATAATTACGAAAGCAAGCAGAAAAACGTTTCCAAAATGAAATACAAAACTGGCAGCAATATAGTGACTCACTCCTAAGTTTCTCGACCAGTTGTTTGAGTCTCCTGATCTCAGACTGAAGCTGTTGGACGGTGCCCGACGTGTCCTCGTTCACGACAGCCTTGTTCCTAATCATCTTGGCTCTCCGGGCAAAGTTGAGTGTCGACAGCGTCTCACCAAAACACCTGCATCACAACAGCAGCAGCACACACTCACACAATATTATGTCGTCTTACGTAAGAACCACAACAGACCTTGCACTGGGATGGACATTGGCTACCAGGTGAGTCTTGGCATTGCCTCCAAGAGAATCCTGCAGAGCAAATGCACTCCATCACAGTATACTACGGTTTGTGCTAATGCTGGACAATCCTAAAGTCTAAAGTCAAAAGTGGTAGAGATAGATCAACAACCACAGGAGAATATGCACGACTAAACTATGGCTCTATTAAAAATTCACCAAGTGCTATATATTGACTTTAGAGGCCCGTAATACACAAGAGTCAAACCCAAATCCTGGTTTCTACATTCACATGTAAACAAGTGAGGTGCAATATAGTGCATCAGGTATATATATACCCTGAGTAGGAAGGTGAGTTTGGAGTCTCTGTAGTGGACGTGGCGGGACTTGCCGTGGGCAATATCCACCAGGGCCATGATGACATTCCCAAGAGCAGACAGACTCTTGTTGATACTGCCAGCCTCCTGGACCAACAGACAGTGGGACCCAAACTACTCAACAAGGACTGACAAAATATCACATAATATAAACTTTTTGACATCTACTGTAGGTGCACGAAATGCATCTGACTAGAGTTAATAACGTACAATTACATTATACAGTACTAGAATGGATTTTGACGAGCGAAGCTAGCAGTTGAATTTTTCGTAAGTATTTAGAATCATGTAGAACGTGCAGTGCCAGTCACACCATGTATATAAAAAATCCCGCATTCAGACGACTAGGTACATGGTTTCGCTGCTAACAACGGCAGGGCCACAATGAAAAGAAAGTAGCCCTATACTGGAACAGACACCCCTGCAGTCTAGTTTACACACACACACATACACAGAGAGAGAGAGAGAGAGAGAGAGGTTACTTTGAGTCTGAGTCCAGCAGTCTGGGTGTCTCTCTGCCTCTCAGAGCCAGCCAGGTCCACCAGGTTCAGGAGACTGGTCTTTATCTTGGCTATCGACTCATTTGTCTCCTGAACAACCAGAGGAAGATGATAGCAATGATTTACAAACTTTCATAAACAGCAATAAAGAAAGAAAGCAAGGGTGTACATGTGGCGCTATAAAGGCACTAAACAGAAAGCAAGGGTATTGTTTTGCCTGCTTGCCCAATAATGCAATGTGTATTTGCAGGAAAGGGGAGTCTGGAGGAGAGTTCCCCTCAGTACAAGGTGTGGTGTGAGAGGAGGTTGTCTTACTCTCTTCTTGGACTCGATGGTGAGGGTGAAGACAGCGTGGGAGCGACTGCTCTCTCTGTTCATGGAGGTGGACGCAACTCTTCTGTTCACCCATCCAGTCCGCAGTACCTGGACCACAAACAACCACTCACTTGGGCATTATGTACATACATATATAGGAAGTTTTCCTTGTCGTTTCACCTTAAATATAAAGATCTAGGAAGAGTTTTTGTGCATTTGTGCAGGGAATATGGCTAAAATACACTGTTCTTTAAAAACTATAACCACACATTACGCCAAAATTGGCTGGCTACCTTTTATAGAGTTTTTGTAGAAATGAAGCCTTGTATGGCTACATACGTAATATTTAGGAACACCCTTTGTGGTACAAAACTGAGACTGTGTGACTGAGCATCAGTAGAGTGATTGCTGGTTAGTTGCTAGTAACCTGGTAGGCATCTCTGGCAGAAGCTATACTCTGTTCAGTGAGTCCGTCCACATAGACACCCCGGCTCATGTTCTCCCTCAGATGTGGGCCAAAGTCAAGGAATACTTTATGGTGAGGAATTTGGAGAAATTGATCTTGCATACCTATAACAACAGCTGATCCTCCATAGTTTTTACTGGACACAACCAACCATGAGTATTGTACATGCATCTAGCTCATTGCTAGCTCATTGCCCATCATTGCCTTACACAATATTTTTGCATACATTACATGTGATGGTATAGGATTATGGGATATGGAGACCAGAGGAAGCTGGGTCTAGGAGGTCAAAGACCTGCTCGTTGTAGATCTCCAGAAACGAACACTTGCACAGAAACTCCACCAAATCGCCACACTGGGATGGGAGCCACAGGAGGAGGGGAAAGGGAGACATGGTCATTCTACACACCACAGGCAGTAGTAAGGGTACAGAATCAAGGAGAATAAAGTGTAAGGCAGAGTTTTGAGGGCTTCGAGGGATTACATATATAGAAGGGTACCTTTGAGCTAACTGCTGGCTGCACAACATACATATACATATAGGCATGCATGTGACCAATACCTTCTCTATCTCTCTGTTGATGAGACTGAAGAGGTACTCAAACCCTCGCGGGAATGATTCCTCTCATCTCATGTGTGAATGAATCTGAATCTGAATCCTCCTGAGTTGGACCTGTATATGTACACATGTACCAGAGACAAGTGGGTTGATCTATATGATCTACAATGTACAAATTAATGTCCGTGGGAGTGAGTAAGGAAATTACTGAATACGTTCTGCGGTTGAACACTCAAGTCCTCAAACAACATTCAATGGTAAACAATGCTTTGTGGCAAGATTTTCGGCAAATGCTCAACCTCTAGAGCATCCACGGATCACAAAGTTGACTGTATGTAGTACCAGGACCAACGGTTGGCAAGCCAGTTAAACAATGATTTCCAACTGCACAGTTTGATCCACCCACACACTGTGCTAGTAAGTGTACAGATGCATAGCTAGACAGTAACCCACCAATCATAGTGAAGGTCTTCCCTGACCCAGTCTGCCCACTGGACGGAGAGAGAGAGCAATGATCACTGACACACAACCAGAGGTTTCCCATGTCTGTTGGCAAACACTACCCTTTCTGCAGCTAGGAGATAGACTATTACTGGTGGCCCACAGGAAAAGGGATGCAGTGACACCACACTCCATGGTATGTCTTCCATGGTAACCCAGGTGAAAGTATGCAGTGCACAGTCTTAGAACAATCAGTGTGGCCTGGTTAATGTGACTGATATCCAGTTCACTCACAATTCTACAGCAGTACACACCTTGTGCTCTACATGGCAGGCAAATCTTACACCTGTATAATAATGCTACCTACTCACTCTCCATTGTACTATCATAGAGGACAAACAAACTGGTGTCACTCCAAGTCAACCTCTGTAATAAGCTGATGCTACCGCAAAGGGTAAAGATTTAACATGCAAGTCAACCTCTGAACACCTCTGGTATATCATATACTGTATACACAGCAGTGGTTAGATCGACTCACTAGGCAAAGATGGTTCCATTGTAGCCACACATGCAGCTCTCAATGATGGGTCGTCCTATGGCAGAAAACACATCCTCCTGCATATGTGGGAGATGGGACCATGATTTCCAGCTGTGATGCAGATTAAGTACATGAGGGAATCAGTGATGTAAGTAAGCATGCAGGATAAAACCAGAGTTCCGAACAGCAAGTGTGCATGGAGTTGAATATTCAGAGCATGTATTACATGAGGAAACAACAGTGAATGACAGTGAAGACAGCCCTAGTAGATGCTGGTTAATAGAACATAATAATAACTTTATGAGACAGTGGCAATGTTAGTATAAGCTTCCCTTGTACACATACAGTATATATAGTACCTCACTAATTACATAAGTGACATCATTACAGTACTGTGTGAAAATGACAGATGTGTATATACACATAATCATTTAATGAAGGAATGCCAGAGCATGCATTAGGTTTACATGTCCATGTGTACAGCACGTATATACCTGAGTGGTCTGCATTCCAGCTACATGGTCAAAGGTGAACACTTTTGGTTCTGGTCGACTCTGCACGCTGAGAGAGGTCGCGGAGGTCACATCGACACAGTGGGCGTGGTATAGATCTCCGTCCAGGTTGGGGTCGGGAGGTCGCACTCGAACAAACACCCGAATACTGTCATCACCGCTGAACCACCAAATATACGCACATTACAGTGAGAGAAAGTATTTTTGTTGCAATAAACTAGGAACCCTGCCAATTTCAGCATGTGTCAGTCGAGGAATATTAATGAGAGAGATCCTTCGTACCGTCTCATGACCGACTGTCGAACACACACCCGTCTACCACTACTCAGGTCATGACTTAGCTATAGTTAGACGTTCAAGACGTGTACTGAACTCAACTCAGCTGGCTAGCTAGAGCTCACGGCCTCTTTCCTCAGCACAACAAATCATAGGTCGTGGAAAGGGATCGTGTGTGCATTGACGGCTGACTACACCGCTTGGATATGTCCGTGTGTACAGGAACACATCCCGCGACAGACAGGGCTGCTTTATGAAGGTCGCCCCACTAAACCGCTCACCTAGACTCCATTGCCTCCTGCAGAGGGCCGGGATAGCTTGTTGGAGAACACCAGGAGGAGCAGAACCACGGCCTGCGGGGGTAGCGGGCTTCCCAAATTCGCTAGTCTGTACTGGCGAGTCTCTGGAGGTTTGAACCGCGCGCCTTCTTCTCTCCAATTATTCGAAAACGAACCGCGAAAGAAATATCGAACTCTACAAATGTCTGCTCCGAACAGAAAAGTTGCATGGATCAAACCGCAGGAGCCGTCGTTCATAAAGGCCTTCAAGGCCAAAGTCGGCTACAAAGAACCTGACACAATAGGCAAGCATCTGTACCATTAGTACCACAAGATGCTAGCTCCCTGTTTCCCCTTCCTTACCCCTCCAGAGGCCAAGAGGCCTAAAGTGGCCCCACCTGCTGCAGGGGAGGGAGATGAGGAGGAGAGGGAAGATGAACTACCAACAGTGGTGGTGATGGAGAAGGAAGATGTGGGGGAGGAGGAGTACAAGAAATTTCGTGAAGTTATGAAGGAACTAAGTGCGTGTCACATTATGTTATGTGGCAGATGCATAGACGTAATCAGAACATAATTATTATGATACGGCCTCATTCTCAAAGTACCCTTTGCATACAGGGAGCCTGGAAACATGGCTATATAGGACATGCTGAGATGATGCATTTACAGATGCCACATTAGAGCACGAAAACATTTTGCACCATATTATGCGTCCCAGAGAAAGAAGAGGAGAAGGAAGAGGACAAGGAGGGTAGTGGTGGTGGTGTTCCAGCAGTGGGTCCTCGGTCGGGAGGTGACCAATCTGAGGGAGACAGTGGAGGGAAGATCCTCTTCAAGAGACCGGCCAAGAGACGGAGGAGCAGTGAGGGTGTGTTGGATGCCTCCACACGAAAGACTGGAGGAGAAGCCCCTGTCAAAGGATCAGGGGGCAAGACCAGGTCACCCAGGACTAGGAAGAGATCGGGCAGCTCTAGTGGAGTCAAGAACAGCAGCTTGCTCTCCTTTGGAGATGAGGAGGAGGACTGACATTATCATTCTCTGTTTTATCCACATTCTACGCTTCTACTGCACTGTTTTTCATGTGTTTTTTTGGTGAAAATTTTTCTTAATATGTGCTGTATATTATAGTGGAATGCTTCCAGCATAAATAAATACGCAAATGGACGCTGTGAATGGTGTGCAGGGTGGAAGAGAGTCAATCATTGGGGCTTCCTATCTTGATTGAGACTGAGTGGATCTCCTTCATCTCCTCACCCAGAGCCTGGTGGACAACAACTACCACTAGTGGGTCAATGGTAGCTATAGATAAGAGCCTCACCTCATTGACCATTCGGTGCTGCTGCAGAGCTCTCTTTCCTCTGAACTGCTCCGAGTCTATGTGGATGGTGAATGACGTCCCACAACCACCTGTAGCACACCAACACCACACTGAAATCTCTGAGTAAGGGATACCTGTGCTTGGGACACTGAAACTGTCCATTCCTTCCTCATGTATTAGTATGGGACAGAAACAAGTATTGAGGTCAGAGGGTCTTTGAAGAGATTCGACTGTATACACACTAGTAGCTGCCTGGCATGTCCACCAATGAATGTGTAAAACTGGTTTATGTTTCTCATGGGCTCACATGAGACATCCTCCACAGCAAGGTATGTTGGGTTGAGTTTCTCTTTCAGTAGTGCCGTGACCTTCACCTCACTCACTGTCGGCCTCTGACACACACTGCTTCCAGTGATCCATCTTCCCACTGAATAGAGTGCGGAGGGAATGCACTTCTCCAAACTATAGTTATAGGATCTGCTCACTTGCTGGGGCCTTCCAGTGGTTTGTGAGTCTAACAACGGCTGCAAGGGAGCCAGTCATGCAGAGTCTTCCAGTGCTGTTCATCTTCGTCTTCGACCCCTCCTCCCAAAAATCTGCGCATGCGCAGCCTCAGGGTCAAAGTACAGAACTGTAAGCACGTGGCGAAATCGTCCATCACCAGAAAAGGAAGGTGGCAAGACTATTCCTTCGACTGGGAGCGAGAAAAGGAGTTGTACTACGAGCGCCAGTCGTCAGTAGGTGCAGGGGAGGTGTGGGTATGTTCAGGGGACAGGTGAACCCAGTGACAGGACGGCAGGAGTGGGTGGCGGAGGAGAGAGACGTAGAGTCAGAGGATGGAGACCTGTCTTGCGAGCTGGCCAGGTCCCAGTACGGAGACATGCTCCATGACACTGCCAGGGTAGGCCATAGCTCTGCTTGCACCTCTCTAGCATACATCACTTCCACTTTTACCTCGCTCTTCTTCCTCTATATACATCTCATACCCGTTAAAAATCAATTTTTGATGCTGTGTCAATGCAAACCTACTTAGCTACTACCTGAAATGAAAATCACCGAAGTGCAAACCCTCGGCGCACTGCGCATGTGCGGTACCACCACCGCTAATTGATGTGTTGGGCCAATCTTCATATCCCTGTCTGTCTTGCAATGCTCCCAGAACCAGCTGTACTGCCAGGCTATAGAAAAGGCGGTGTCTGATATGAAGGCCAAAGGGAGAGCAGCTCACGTCCTGGACATTGGTACTGGCACTGGGCTGCTGTCAATGATGGCAGCACGAGCTGGGGCTGCTAGAGTCACCGCCGTTGAGGTACTTATAGTGGGGAATACCCTATAGTCTGATGTCAATTAGTGTATATTGCTTTTTTGGTGCCTTTCTGTGCTTGGTAAACCACTGTGGGTCCTAAATATTGCACTCTGTCTCCACACACACTTGGTTCACATAGCAAAGAAAAGCACCTCTATAATGTGACAGGTTACTGAAGATGTATGTGCATGCAGGTGATGCGTCCCATGGTGAGGATAGCTCGAGAGGTGATATCTGCCAACGGTTACAGCGACACCATCAGGGTGGTGGGCAAGAGGTCGACAGATATGACAGAGAATGACATGGAGGGAGGCAGGGCTAACATTCTGGTGACCGAGGTCTTTGACACTGAGCTGATAGGAGAGGGAGCTCTGATCACGTATTCTCATGCCCTCCAGAACCTCATGGAGGTGATGTAGCAGTCTGCTCGGTGTAGAGTAGAGTCGATTAGCCTGCCTGGCTGTCAGTGCGATGTGTTCTGTGTCATTGAGAAACAGTTGTAGATGTACATGTCTCACAGTGCAAGAATGGGCACTAGATTACACTGTAACAAAGTGCTAGACATTTCCAGTGCTAAAAAAGTTGAATGTCACATTATCAAGTAGTTTCAGCTGTAGTGTACTAATACAGCATGTGAGGAAATACGTATGTTGTCATGATTCTTCCCCTCTTCCACAGCCAGACTGTATAGTCATTCCAGACTCAGTCACTGTGAATGTTCAACTGGTGAGGAGTGAATTCCTCTGGCGTCATCACAAGCTCATTCCTGAGGCAGTGAGTTAGTTCACTCTTACTTTGAAGACAGCAGTTACAGCGTATTCTTCTACATTTTGCTTCATTGCTCAAAAACACCGTTCAGGGCTTTGCTGCTTTTAGCCTTGTCCTCTGCATAACAATTTTAAATAGCTTCACCTTGTGTGCTCATGCTCTTTGCACACCTAAACCCACCTCACATAGAGGCTAGTTGAGTGCCTAAACCATGAGTTTTCAGACATTCCTGTTCAATAGTATGAGAATAGGGAGTAGTTGCCTCAGGTACTTGTACATTTCACACAATCGGTTTGAAATGGTACATACAAAATAATGGCACCGTGTGTACGTCCAACCACAGCTCCCAGGTAGTGTGACGGTGCCAGCTGACTGGAGAAAGTGTCCTGGAGCACCATCGCTGTGGGACCTACATGCCGAACAGCTACAGATCCCTCAGCAGATGAACACCCTGTCTGACCCCACCCATATAGCAAAGTCAGTTCCCCTTCCTCCCCCTTAAAACTCCATACGTTGTGTATTGCAGTCTTCATGAGTGTAACTGGATATTGTCCTGGCATATCTTCCCAAACTCCTCCTTACCCTTGGAATCTTCCTGCACACCTCCCATCTCTCCAGTGTTTTTGACTTGACCTCTGGAACATTGTTGTATCCTCCACTAGGTTCAAACTATCGGATCCAGGTCTGTCCTCAGACCGTTCTGTCCAGGAGGTGGTGGTACCGGTGTCTCAGGGTGGGACATGCCACGGAGTCCTCATGTGGTGGACTGCTGACATGAGTGAGGCAGAACTCTCCATGTCTCCCTGGGACTACACCCAGGTAACCCCAGTTGGAGGATGTATGTAAGTAAAATACTCTCCTACGCTCACCTACAGTGGAGGGACCACTGGCTGCAGGCTGTTCAGCTCCTACCAGAGCCTCTCAATGTGAAGAAAGGTAAAATTTTAAAGTTTTGCTGACAGTGTACAGTGCACAGGGAAAGAATGCAATTTAGTTCTGTTTAGCCCTTATTTATTGCCTGTTGCTAAGGTGTTGCTAAGTTTATTCCGCAAAATAAACTGCCAACAGGGCTGTGGTTAGGGAGCAGGGAGATGTTGCAGGTGTCAATAACTGGTGCTGATTGGAAAGGACAATAGAATTCCTTGTGGCTAGGGCGATGTTGCAGGTGTCAATAACTGGTCGTGGAATTTAGTCAGTACTGTTACAAATAGCAGACCTTTTGTTCGTTGAGATGGAAGATTGGACTGATTTTACCGCCCGAGGCAACGCCACTAGATCCGTGTTTTCGGAACATACTTCTCGGAGCGCTCTTTCGGCGCATTCGTCTGAAGAACTCCCACCGGTGGAGCATTTCTTGAAGCCTTAGGCGCTTACTCTTGGTGAGGCGATCGGCAGCCTCCCTTTCCGGATTTGCCAGCTGCTTCAACACCGGCACTTTTCTCGTAAGTGTTGAAACATGGCGGTAATCAGTCCATCTTCCATTCCCAACGGAAAAAGGTCGCTAGAACGAGCCACCGCTGAGGCCGTCAGAAGCAAAGGAGACGCAACCGGCACAGCGCTCGCGCGTCCGCCATTCTTCCCGCCAGTGTAAAATTGGCTGTTTGACGTCACGTTACCATAGTAAATACTGCTTCCGGCGTCTTAATTGGCAATAAATCAATTATAGCATGCCTAGTCGGTATGTTGCGGTTTATTCCGCCCTCCCCCTCAGGCGGAATAAACCAGCAACATACCTCCTAGGCATGCTATAACTATACATACTGCCACATTCCCATGAGCAATTGCTTAGAGCTGTTGTGGTATATATTACAGGAGACCAGTTGAGTGTCAACTATGCCATGATGACTACTCCACTGTGGTTCCATGTACGTCCACCACAGCCTCTCCCTCCTCCTCTCCCTGCTGGAGTAGACCTCTGTGTACCTGCGGTGTTCATCTGCCTGGAGCAGGTCAGGATAGCCATGCTCAATGACACTGTGCCCGGTCCCATCTCTACCTCTGTGCTTCCACTCAGGTAACTATTATGTGTACTGCCTTTAACTCTTGTCCGCCCATTCTACTGACTGGAAGAGCCAGACTACTGTACGGGTCAGAAACAAGTATACTATTGAGTTGCAATTGCCACACCACAAAAATTCCCATACAATTGTCAAGATCAGGTAGCAATGTTTGTCAAGTGTGCTAAACAAGTCACACAAACGTGCAGTTGACACAATGGATATGTGCGTTACTATGTACTGCACGACTTACACACCGTGTGCAAAATGTACTTCAATTCACGTGTATTATCATAATACTGTAAAGACGTGTTTGCGTGCGTGTACGTACATGTGGTACGTTGGTATGTATAATTACTCATCCATATGAAGAGCACACTCTATACCTGCCCTCGCATCATCTTACATGTAAGATGCACACAGCTGGGCATCTTCATCTTAATGAGGTGGCAAAAATGCAGCACAGAAGTGTGAACAAAACTTACCTCATATATACATACTGTTATGTACTCATCCATACGCACATCTGTACCTGCACAGCTTAATCCACATGTATGGTGCACCATCTTACATGCTTGATGAGGTGCAAAAAATGCAGCACAGAAGTGTGACAAAACCTACTCATTTCACTTGCACTTAACTCTGCTCGCCCATTCTACTTTGGAGGAGCCAGACATGATGGAGTGTCCCCTTGGGTAGGCACGTGCCCCCATCCAGCAGCAGGGAGGGCAGCTAGCTTGCCGCTGCAGCCCCCGGCCCGGCCATGTGAGCTCACGTGGCGCCATGCTGTATCGTGTACCAGGTGTGCTCGTGAGGTTTGATCATTTGGTCATGGCTACCGCGAGCCTCACGTGACCTGGTAGGCTGGCACGTGCCTCGCTCTACGGGACACTCCCACGGCATGCAGCATGATGGGGAGCATGGCTGCGAGCCCCTTTCGGCAGATAGGGCGAGTCCACTCGCAGGAGGTCGCCGGCACATCCGTTGCCATGCCTCCCCAAGGGAGTAGTAGAGATCTAGGTAGGTAGACGCACTAACGCTATCCCGTAAGGTTCGTGCAGTGGAGACATGATTGACATCTCCAGCTATAACAGTTTGAGACGCTCACCACACAACAATCCAGATCATGTTAGAGCCCGACCTTACCGTCGGATGAGAGTCTCTGTGCAGCGGTTCTGGGAAGCTAGTGCCACTGACCTGGCAGCAACCGTTCGTGTTGTGTCCTTATGTACGCGGATGGAAGGCACCACTCTGCCCCCTGATCCCAGCAGCTGAATGGTCGAGGTCTTCTATCCCTGCAAGTGCAGCAGACGTTGCGTGCGCGATACGGACGCTGTGAGACCAGCATAGTGTCCCTCTGTCCGCAGCGCCCGAGAAGTTTCCGATCTCGTCCACCCAACGATACCTGCTCTCGTCAGTGGAGCCTTCTTTGTGGTCAGGAAGAACGGGCCTGGCCTATCTCTCTCCGTGTGGCACTATGCAAATGGCCACGCTGGGCAGTGGTCTCCCTGTCCTCCCCACGATTAACACTTGCTCCACGTCCGTGATCCGTCTTGGACGTTTGTTTTTTTCCGTCAGTTGAAGTCTCCCATCGGGTGGCCTGTGTGTTATCAGCCGCCATGTCCCCCCAGCCAGATGCCACCTGGGGTTGAACGCCGAACTGGGATGGTAGCAGCAGCTCTCCTACCGGGAAAAAGAAAAGGCGGTGCAACAAACCCCCAGTACCAGCTTCCCTTCTGTTTTCTCTCGGTGGCCGACCCATCCACTTTGTGTTTGATCCTCGAGGATTTGGGCGGTGATCGAAGGCGGACTCTTGAGGGTTGGTCCTCTTCCCGTCGAGCTCGTGCAATGGCCCGCCTGCAACGGCTCTAGAATCGAGCAAGCTGACTGCTCCCTTGGTCCGTGAGGCCTATTCATAACTGGGGTAATTCTCACGCCCGCTAAGTACGACTTGACAGTCTGCCCGCAAGGTTGCCCGTCTTCCATGAGGCGGCGAATGCCACAAAGGAGGTGCTCCCCGTTGACCGGGACGGATCTGCAACACTATACTTTTTTCCATTTCACAAAACGATCAGAATTTTCTCATGCGGAGTCGTAGCCCGACGCGTGAGGGGTCGAGCCATCTCGACGAAAATTCCCGTGATAGACGGGAGCCAACAACCTGTGATGTCCGCATCTTGGACGGGTCGAGGATTACTCTACCTCTACCAGCTGTGGTGGAAGTGGAGGGCTGCTGTCGCTGTGGCACCCTTTGAAAGAAGGAGAGACGCTTATACGCGCGATAATCTTCGGGCTAGTGATTATCTACTTATGTACTGTGGGACAGGAGAAATCGTAAGTCGCCTCCACGAACGCCAACGTGCGTATCCATGTGCATGATGCTGGACGGCTGGTAGCGACGTAAGCAGGACCACAGCTTGGTTGTCACAGTCCAAGGACACAGGGGTGCCCCAACGCTGGGCCCATATCGCACATGCCAGGACCACCGGGAGTATTCTTTTGACATGATCGGAAGAGGGTGAATCCGTGCCCACTGTAATTGGACACCAATGGCCCGAGGTACCATGCCACCGCAGCCCCATGACCCTGAAGCGTCAGACGCCATCGCGATCGTAGGCGTGGGAGTGGGTAGGGAGAAAGAGACCCCATTCCACTTCGATACAAGGTACCTCCACCATGTGAGATCAAACGGAAGACCTATTCAGTCTGAATAGGGTGAGGCCGCAGCGGATGGTGAACGCACGCCTTTCAATAGTCAATCATGCGGTGAGAAGGAAGCGACCGGACCGTACAACTGTTGCGGCGTGTGTATACCCCCCCCCACCAGGTGATTCGAGCTCCCTCCGCTCACACACTTTCCTGATCTCTCCGACCTCAAGCAGGGACCGAAGGACGCACAGCTTGATCCGTGAGGGAGGCGAGTTGGGAAGCACGGTACTTACCTCGAACCCCCGGAATGTCAGTCACCACTTGTATTACCTCTCCCGTTTTTCTCGTGCGAGTGCCACACACCGAGTGGTCGCACACGCCTGTGTGACCGTGACCAAAGCTTCCGCACACTCATAGGAGTGTGTTGAGGCAATGATTAAAATCATCCAGATAGTGAAACCTGAAACGGTCCCTCAGTTCCGCAGATGCCACTCCAAGCCAACATCGGCGATTCGTTTAAGATCTTAGGGTGCGTAGCGGAGGTCCGAATGGTAGGCATGGTCCACATACCGGTTCCCCTGCCATTCATCGCTCGTCCTGCAATTGTCGGTCCTGGGGATGGACGGGGACTAGTCGGTACGAGCCGATCTTCAATATCTATTTTGGCCATGAGGGCGCCATCATTGTAACTGGCCGCTCCATTGCCACGCGTCGACAGAGATTTATGATAATGAGACATAGACTACGCTCCGGTTCGACTCCGCTGTTCAGCACTCGCCCCGCAGGTGTGTGACAGTCTGTGGATTAAGCGCGGCACTATCCCCTGTTGTGGCCCTTCGGGATAACACCGAACGTTGATTTGGAGAGCTGTCAGGATGCCTAGGTCGTTTGGTGCTAATGGGCCGAGCATGCGGCAACGGACCGCTCTTAATCCTATGTAGGCCTGTAACCACCTCGGGTCTCGCTGGCCCGAACCAGATTGCCTGTTGACGGGATATAGGGGGTCAGGAATGGTTTTGAAACCGATCGAAAACCCTCGCTGATACCCCCGATGATGTTCGACGAAGGCTCGTCCCGGATGAAGGCGCCAAGGCAAGCTTCCATGCCTCTTGTTCAACGGGTCTGCAACCTGGCGAGCATTGGGACATTGCCTTGGATCGGGTGTGCGCGTGGAAATCAGGCGGAGCAGTCCTGCCGTATGTGTGTAGAGCCGTCTCCATGTCTGCAGAGGGAGATGTAGCTAGTCATGTTCCATCAGCGACCCACAGGACGTACAATGCCATATGGCCCGTCGAGCGGCCGCCAGCTCCCGCCGGCTTATCATAGCCCTCAATATAGTGACTAATGCAACACCACCAAATGCATGACAAAGTGCATGTCTAGCCCCTACCACGGCTCTACCGAGCCCACATGCGGGCCAGCTAATCTGGGATGTCCGGATGACAGCTTTCGGCGGTAAGCGGGCACACCTGTTCCGACCTGCAGCATTCTGGGAGCGGGAGGTAGGGTGCGACTGCGGTTGTCGGTTTTGTCG